AATTTCTAACTGAATCTTATTTAATTCTAGCAGTGATTTCAAGATACCTGAAGTCCAGGTATCATTCTTTTTACCCAGGCCAATATGTCCTTCCTTTGGTGTGATGCCCAGATCTGCTCACAGTACTCCAAGTGGGGTCTAACCAGGGTTTTGTATAACTATGACATAATTTCTGCATCCTTGTACTTCAGTCCTCTAGATATCAAAGCCAGCATTCCATTAGCTTTCTTGATTACTTTCTGCACCTTTTTGTGACATTTTAAAGATCTGTGCATTTAAACCCTTAAGCCTCTTTAAACATCCACTGCATTTAATTCACATCATCTAGAAAGGATCAATCCTTTTTTGGTCCAAAAGGGATGCCATCATTGACACTATCTACAATACCACCTAACTTTGTGTCATCAGCAAATTTGGATATATGGCTTTCTATGCCATTATTCATGTCCTTAATAAATAATGTAAATAATTGACACCCTGATGCAGATCCTTGTGGAATACCACTGGTCACATCCCGCCAATTTGAGTACCTACCCATTATCCCTCTTTCTGTAAACTGTCACTCAACCAATTTCCAAGCCAGAACTGTAATTCTTCCTTAATTCCATGAGCTTCTGCCTTAGAAGTCTATATAAATAACGTCCGTATATTCTCCTGTCCGATAGGTTAGTCACCTCTTCAAAAATTTAATGAGGTTCATCAGGCATGACCCACTTATCATGACTCCATTGCTGGTTCTCCCTGATTAGCTGATAATTTTCAAGGTGTTCAGTCACCCCATACTCTATTATAGACTTCAGCAATTTCCCCACCACAGACTTTAGACTAACTCCCTGATCTTCCTCTTTTGCTCTTCTTAAAAAGCATAGTGACATGTATAAGTTTCCAAATCAGAGGGATGACTCTGCATCTACAGAACTCTGAAAGATTATAGCTTAGGTGTCTACAATGTGCTCCCCTCTTTTGTTTAACACCTAGGATGGCAACTGTGAGGTCCTGGGATTTGTCACTCTTTAATTCCATTAATTTCCTCATTACCAATGTTTTATATACATTCATTTTATTCAGTCCCTATCCTTGATCTATTATTAATTTCCTCAGCACTTCTGGTAAGCCTATCTTCATTTCCTATTGTAAATACTGAGGCAAAGTGATTATTCAACATATCTGTCTTTTTCCCATGGTCATCGACAATATCCCCACTTTCAGTCTTGGAGAGCCAACATTGCTCCTGACCACCTGCTTTCCCTTTACTATAAAATTTATTTTTATTGATTTTGATGTCCCTGGCAAGTTTCCTTTCATAATCCCTTTAAGTAGCTCTTATAAGCTGCTACGTGCCTCTTTGCTGGTCTTTGTATCTTTTCCATTCAGCATAGCTTCCTCTCGTCTAAGCATTTTGAGAGACAAGTCGTGTCTTCTTAACTTCCTCTTTTTGGAATTCCAGTTTTTTTTAAAATTCCATTTCCTTTTTTATTTCTTTATGCTCAATTTCCAATTCAAGCTATCTTGTTTCTACTTCTGTTTCTCTTCTTTTCCTTTGCTCTTTTCCTGTCATTTTCTTCCTGTTTCTTCTTTCATCTATTTTGCTTTGAATTCAAGTTTTTTAAAAAATTTCTAACTGAATCTTAGTTAATTCTAGCAGTGATATCAATTTCAGGTTTGCCTCCTTTTACTTTTGATCATATTCACGAGATTGCTACTTTGCCTTTAATGTAAGAATGCAAGTTTATTACACAAAAGATAAAAAAGCTATATTTATATATATGACACTTTGAAAAGATCTTATCATAAACATAAAAAACTAGCCCTTTTCCCCAGCAATATCCTTTAGAAAAACTCAATGCCAATGAAGTTTCACTTCTATCTTCACTTTAATTTCTTTTACTCAGTTGTTGAGGTTGCATTTCCGTTTTGGTGACTGCGTATTCACCAGATGTGATTCTCTTCCTCTCTCCTAGAGAGGCATAGACACAGGCTACGTCAGTGACTTTTCTTTTACTGAACTCTAAGAAAACCTTAGAGAGTTTTCCAGCCCTGACTACTTGGACTACTGAAATACCTTATGACCTCTGATAGCCTGGAGACTGTTGAAACCAAGCTGCAATTTTTTTTGTATGGATCTTTTCTCTGAAGTCCACTCACTGCTGGCCTCTGGGCTCTTCGTGGTCACAAAAGCTCAACTAAGTAAACCTTTCAGCGATTATCTCACCAGGTAGCTTATTCAGTCATTTAGCTTAAGTCAAATGATTTCGTGGAAATGCTGTTTTGACTCTCTACTAACAAAGGGGTTTCTTACCTTTAAAGCTACCTCCACAGAACTAAAATAAAAACTTACTTCTACTTTAGAATCATAGTCTCCAAATAACAATGTATTTATAAATCTTCATTACATATTTACATACACCATTTTAATTAAACTATTCTTAACTATTTGACAGAGGTAGAAGATCCATTGTACAAAAGTTTAATAGTAATATATTACAATGCATATAATAGTTACATCATGTATTTTTTCTTGAAGTGGAAGATCTTAATTGATTGCAAAATAGTTGTAAGGTCTGGTCCTGTTTGTTATATTCTTATGTTTAGTAGATATAGCTTCAGCACTTGATCGCAAGTGTAGTATATATTCATAAAAAGAGTTAAAATAGGCTGAAAGCTTTTCAACTTTTTCTTTATTCTCAGTTCAGTTCACATGAAATCCACTTCTGTCAATCCCTTTGACTACCTCAATCTTTTTTCTTGAATAAAATTAATTGACAAATTTAACCATCATTTAATCTCCTGAGCCACAGGCTGATGCAATTCTGCAAATTATCTGTTAGAATTATTTAGTTGAAAATCTCCACCCGCCCCAGCCTTTCAACAGTGCTTGTGAACACATTTATTTTTAACAAAAAGGGCTGCTAAGACTGTTCTAATGAATATGGCATTGAGTACCAGCATGTGATATCTAAACATTGGCAGCTAGCCATTGTGGGGCTTTTGTTACTGAAGCCGTGATGCACAGAATACTAGCTCTGTCACTGTAAAGACTATTTTCATTGAATTTCAATAGATGGACAAATTCCACAGCAAATCCACTGACATACAAATGCTACACTGCTATGATGAAATGGGAAAGGTATATTTCATGTTAATATATCATTATCCTTTAAGTCTAAACATCAAGCTAGACAGCATGTTTTTACGCGCTAATAACAATTATCTTCAATAAATCATGCAAATAGCATAATTTGTTGAAGATAGGACAGTTTGACGCAAGTAACTTAAGATTCTTACTGATATTAGTAGTGAGGAAAAGATAACAAGAATGAAGACATATATACTCTTCCAACGGACTGTGTGTGCTCTCTCTCTCTGCACCTGACGAATGGGTTGCGCTCTGAAAGCTTGTGATCGATCCACTTAAACCTGTTGGACTATAACCTGGTGTCATGTGACTTTTGACTTTGTCCACCCCAGCACCGGCACCTCCACATCATAGATGTTCTTCTAACAATAGATACCAAATACAACTGTTCACTCAGGACACTACTTTAGGACAATCATTTTTAAAATTGATTTTTCAAACACTTGTTTCTCCAGTTTTCCATCTTCCTCCTCTCCTTACCATCTCTGGAGACAATAGTAACGTGGAGAAACAGCCTTCCAAGTGATCATGTGGCAGCCTGGACAGTAAAAGGCAAAAAGCAGTTTATTTAGTGGGGTCTTTAGTCAGTCCATCCTGACTGTCCATAAACCCACCAGGGGTTGCTGAAGAGTGGTCAGTAGCGAACACGTGTTCACCTTCAGTTTTAGCTCTGACTGAGAAGCCAAATCACACGACTTGTTTAAAGATAGAATTGCTCCATTCTGTGGCTCACTATCACCCCAAGGCGGTACTGCACGTCCAGTGTTGAAAATGTAAGCGCTGTCTTGCTAAATTCTATGCAGCCGACGTGTTTCGAAACCTAAAATGATTCTGCCGAAAAGATTTATGAGAGTGTTATCCACACGTTCAGTAACCAGTGGACACATTCGTCCGTTGTGCACGGCGGGCGGGGGGACGGGAACGGGTGTCACGGAGAATAAAATTCTGCGGGTGCTGGAAACGTGAAATGAAAACAGAAAATGCTGCAAGTGCTGAGGGGGGGGTCGGGCGATAGCTGCCCGTGAGTTTGAAACACAGTCAGTTAAAGTCTCGGGGCGATTCAAAGTCATAGTCTAGAGACATCGGCTCTTCCCCGTCTCTCCAGGCGCTGCCTGGTCTGTCGATTGTTTTACTTTTTTTCCTTTCCAGAGATTCGTGTTCAACTGAATTGGGAGCTTCCTCGATCCTCACAGACGGAAACTTCTGGGTTTTCGGTTTAAAAAAAAATGTCAACAAGAGCGTCCCCTGGAGGTGGGGTGACGTCACCGAACCGCAGCCGCGAGGCTGTAAACAGGTTCGGGCCGGCTCACTCGGCCAGACTGGGAGGGGAGCGAGCTCCGTCATCAACATCAAAAACAACCCATTCACTGCAGCTTCACCTCAACCTGGAATCGGAGACGTGAACGCAGTTATCAATCATCCATGCATTCACTACATTTGTGGGAGATCGTCGCAATTTTTGACAATTGAAGCGTCAAGAGCCGGTTTCATCACACTCCTCCTTCCCTCCCCCCCCAACCCACCCAATTACCCTCCCAGCGCAGCAGCCAGGTGGAAGTTCCCGGCCTATTTCCGGTGGAAGGCCCAAAGCCACGAGCGGAGATAAAACATCGGCGGCGGCGGAGGCCTGAGGCAGCGAGAGGGATGAGAGGAGGCGGTTCTGCGGCCTGGGCTGCTGAGCGCAGGGACAGACACAGCCGGAGCCAGCAGCAGCAGCAGCAGCAATTTTAAAGCAGGCTTCCAGCCCGGGCGATGGCTCTGTGCGGGGCGTCAGCGACCGTGGCCGAGGTTCTGCCGTGCGAAGTCATCGTTCACATCTTCTCCTTTCTGTCCCCCTGGGACCGGCTCCGGGCCTCGTCTGTCTGCTCCAGGTGGCGAGAGTGCCTCTTCTACCCGTCCCTGTGGCCCGAGCTGCGGCTCCGCCTGCGCGGCTCGGACGCCGAGCGCTGCCGCCTCGACTTCCTAATGAAGAAGTGCGGCTCGTTCGTGCGGGAGCTGCGGGTGGAGTTTGAGGGCAGCGGCTCCGAGAGCGCAGCGGAGTTGGGTACCGGGGAGCTGGTCACCCTCAAGGCCTACGTGGATGAGATGGTGTGTGTCTTGAGGAGCGTCCGGACCAATCGTAATCTGCAGAAGCTGAGCGTTTTCGGAGACATCTACCTGCAGGAGCAGGGGGAGAAGCAGCCATACGAGTAGGTATCCGGGCAAAACTCTGAGGTAGGGGTGGGGGCAGGCGCTGGGGTAGGGGGCGGGCGCCGGTGTGTGTGAGGGAGCAAAGTAACGGTTGATCACAGTCACTCCAGTAAACCGACAAACACAAGGGAAGGAAATAAGTGGTAGAGTTTCGAGGCTGGAGAGTGCAGGAAGGTTTCCCCCCCGCAATGCCATTTTGCAACAAATACCGTATAGTTTGTCGATCCTCCGCTTTTCCACCGTCATGTTTATTTGCATAATTCCCGAGGGAGGAATTTGTTGCGAAGTGATGTTGCTTGATTCATTGCGTGTAACCTTTGGCAGGCAAGATCGGGCTGAAAAGCTGAATGGAGTGTGTATTGCAACAGTTTAATGCTTTTGAGATTCATAACCGCCCACTCACCACCCACACACGTTTTCTCTCTTTGCGTCCCCCTCGTCACATGTGCCCAGTTTAATGTTTTAATCTCCAGAAGCGCTGTTTGACTCGAAGGAGTTTTGTAATACTAACGTAAACCCGATTTAATTAGGTTGCTTCGCAGATACTTTCTATGAACCTTGTGTAATTTAAGTCTTTTTTAATGTGGTCATTTACTATGGTATATCCCTTCTATTTTTTTGCCTTAGATTATCTAATTTTTCTTTTGAAAGAAAATCTCCTGCTCTTAATGCATCTTTTGGGAATTGGGAGTGTATGTTGATGGTTGTTGCCACTTGGGTTTGCTTGAGGCTATTTTTTTCCAATGTTCACCAATTTCTAACACCATGTCTTCTGTATGTAAATCAGTGTAAGGATCCTCCCAATCAGTAGCGTACCACTGATAGTATATTGTCATGAGCAAAATGCGATACCTGCTGGAAGCCTGAAATAAAACAGAATACAAGGCCACACTCTGCATATCTTGCAGCATTTGTGCAGAGAAAAATGGTTAATGTTTTGGACTGGTGATCTTTCCTTGTTTTGAATAGAATTTCTACAAAAGTACAATTTAAACTTTTTTTTATTCATTCATGGGTTAGAGCATCACTGGCTAAGCAGCATTTATTGCCCATCCCTAATTGCCCAGAGGGCAATTGAGTCAACCATATTGCTGTGGGTCTGGAGTCACATGTAAGCCAGACCAGGTAAGAATGACAATTTCCTTCCCTAAAGGCCCTTAGTGAACCAGATGGGTTTGACTAACAATTGACAATGGATTCATTGTCATCAGTCTCAATTCCAGATTTTTTTTTTTTTTGAATTCAAATCCCACCATCTGCTATATGATGCTATGGTGGAGTTCGAATGCAGGTCACCAGAACACTTTCTAGGTTTTGGGATTAACAGTCGAGCACTATACCACTAGGCCACCGTCTTCCCCCTTTTAATTGCTGTAGTTAGTACCTTGCAGTGTCAATAGATTAGAGAAGGCCTCCAGAGTACAAATATATTTTTGAACTTTCTAGAGCCACCCATGTGTGCGTAATTCTGAGAAGCATGCAACCAGTAATTCCATAGATTCCACATGTTCTAACTCTTATCACCACCCTGGTGTGAATAGTGTGCTGGATATCAATCTCCACTATCCACTAATCATATCAAATTTGAATTATGATCAGTCTTGATACCTAAGATGGTTAATGCCTGACTGACCATTGTCAAACTTACTCTAGGTTTCATCAATTAAGAAAAAATATATATTTATGACAAACCTGCCCTGTAATGTGGCAAAAATTGATCATTGATTACTGATATTCAATCTTAAACTATGCTCCTTAAACACACACACCTTTTGTACACAGGATGGACGAGACAGATGAGAAACATTCTGTGAATATCATGAGTAGAAAACATAGGTAAGGCGCAAGTTTTGTAGATCAGATTCCAAACCAATATAATGGAAGGAGATGACTTTGTCAATTTTGGTGCTTATCATGCCGTGTTAACTGCTGCAATGGTCAATTTGATAGCTGGTCACTGGGACCTAGGCTTTGGTTGAAATTAGAAGTTTCCTGGGGTTTGTTTGTTTTTTTTTCCCCCCCAGAGTCTGAGTGTTAAATAACACTCAGACTTCCAGTCGTGCGCTGTCCTTTTTCAGTTCAGTGACAAATTGCCACTTAAACCAATCCAAACCAGGTTGCTGGGCCATTATTCACTTTCCAAAGATGAGTGGAAGATTTCCTTCACTTTAAGATCAGGTGCGATTAATACATAGCAGAAGATCAGGATTGTGTGGAGTATTTTAATCAGATTAAGGAGTAGTTGCTTTTACTATAAGTTGAATTTTTATTGGACAGTGCAGAAAGAATACTCTTATTTTGTTTTTATATAGCTCTTGTGAATGAGATGGGGATATGTCAGTGTGTCTATAATTGAGCTAAGAATTTGATTTGACATCTTCTGTTTCATACATGTGGGGTGACCAACTTTCACAGTTCTCTTGAAAACCAGCTTTTCTCAACTGAACAATTTTTTATTGCTCTGGATTTTATTCATTGTGCCATGTAATTAACCTTTACAGGAATAGCTAGTTATTTTGAAAATTACTGGGCACTAAATATATTAAACAGTGGGCACTGAAGCCAAGTGTTGCTATCAGTCATCCAAATGTTGTTCTTTTTGGTTTAAATATGAAGATGGTTTTTATATGAAAACTTTGCTTATGCATTTGCGTCTTCTAGTAATTCTTCATCAGTCCCAAATAGACATCTCAGGATCTAAAGATTTTAAAAGTAGAATCAAGTTTTGCTTCCCACTAAATCCTCTTAGCCCTTGATATTTATAATTTGGCTTTATTTCTTAAAAAAAAAAAAAAAAAAAAATCTCATGAAAAATGCCAGAAGTATTAACCATAGTGCTTATACTCTTACCACAAGTAGAGCCACTTAACCAATATTTTAGAGAATAAAATGAATGTTAATTCTATGCTTAACACCAAATCATTTTTATGGATTCTTTGTATAAAATGATTGGATTAAATGTAGAAAATATTAATATGCAATTAATGGAGAGAGAACTTGACTTTCTTGGATAACTTTTGTATTTTTCCCTTCCCTACCCTTTCTCACTGTTTAATGTTTAACTTGTTTTTCTTATTAACATTTTCTGTCCTCGAATTTCATTTTCTTTTTCTCTTATTTCTATTTTTTTAGATCGATACTTAAAACAAAAAGTCTGAGCAGATTATTTTTTCCCCTCCCCCCAGTCTGCAGCCATTGGTTCTTCGGTATGCTACAAAATATATTCTGCTGGTCCAGTTTATGTTAAAAATGTAGTTCTCATACCAGTGGAATTTTTGTCCCTTTATTAAAGGTAAGGTTTGCTAGGATATCATGTATTAAAGGGATATTGATACAGAAACAAATCAATTTACCATATTTAAAGAAGTTACTTGCTACATAAAAGGAAGTGGGTTTGAGAATTAGCATATTTTCAGGTGGCTGTTGAAGCAAAGCATCAGCTTTGAAAAGAATCAAACACCCAAGTGCAATTTTTTTTTTTTTTTTTTTTGAAACAATGCCAAAGAATTGACCCATGGTTGGAAAGTGTTGATGAAATTGTTTGCAAATCAAAATGCTGGTTTTGGGCTTGATACCATGTGACATCTCTTCCAAGTATGGAAAACCACAGTTAGCAATTAAATTATATACTTCCCCCTCAAAGTACAAGAGAATCAGTTAGGAGTTGTGGAATAGTTATTTTGGAACAGTTTTTAGAGGCTAAGAAGTAAACCTTTTGATTGAAAGGGCTGTTGTGTATGTTTGTTGCTATGGTTAGTTTCAGGGTGTGTGGGATAAGATTGAATTGCATATTTACATATCTGCAGGTTTTCTACAGTGAGTGGTTGTGCTAGAAGTAGTATGGATGGCAACTGTGCAGTACAGCCAGAGTATTTAGCCCTGATAGTTTAAGATTCCTTGGGAACTTACATTTACTTTGGAGGTTTGGCTTGGTTGGTTGCCTTATCATGTAACCTGGTGACTTGACACACAGTACAATGGGATTTGCACCCAGTTCTTCCTCTAGCATTTTTTTTTGCTTTGGTGTTTGAGCAGACAGAAGGCATTTCTCCAGGAGGTTGGAAAAGTACCAGAAACCGCATTTAGGCTATTATTGCTTTGTCACTGCTTTAACTGCAAATTGGTGGCTTTTGTAGCCACTTGGTAGCAATAGGTTTGTTTATTTAATCACCAAATGTGGGTGGATTTGAAAGGAGAACAATTCAAGAATTAATGGTACATCTTACAGAATTTCATTCCCCTGATGCAATTATTAATCTGTGCTGTATATTTTTGAAATAACTGCCGAAAACCAGGTATGATCCTGCTTGTCAGTTTGTAAAAATGACAGCCATATGCTTTATGGGCTGTAACTGCCACTTTCTTTCACTACTGGTAAGTATTATTCTGGTAATTAAATAAATGATTTGTTTTGAGACATTGCAACTGAAAATTGTTGAACTCCAAATAAGTGTCTCAGGAAATAGCACAAAGATTTAAACAAAAAAGTGCAACTTAAATCACTTGAGCGTTTTGAATAAGCACTCTACATGGGGAACGGATTATTTTGAATTAAAATATTATGCCAACTTGGACCCAACTTTTTAAAAAAAATTTCCTGTTCTAGCTTTAAGCAGTTTTTTACTGTCTGGTTTGAAGCTACATTCTCAGCTCCTTCACGGTCTGGTATTGTTTCAATTAGTGTCATTCTTTTTTTGATTAACCGAAGTTTCTCAACTTCTGACTTCCCCAGAGTTGATTAAGATTTCTAGTCTTATTGTCTATCATAAAGATACCACATTTCCAAAAGAACATCATTAAAGTGAATGGTAAAGCGAGAGGAGTTACCAAATTAGGTGATTATTTTTTCTTCTTGGGGAAACCATAAGAGCATAGTGAGATTTGTAATTGTGGACTGTTTTGGATAAAAGGAAACTGTCAATTTAAACTGGATTACTGTGTGAGACACCAAGGAAAGTTCAACATCTGGAAACTACAACCTAGATTAGTGTAGTAATTTGACAATCAGTTTAATAATAGAATAAGCTCATCTTAATTGTGAATTGTGGTCTTTTTTAAAATCTAAAGTTAAATAGAATTGGCTATAAATTAAATGTTTTTTTTTCTGATTAAGCAAATGTGCAGTTGCCAGTTAGGAGCTGCTTGCTTTCCTGTTTGTTCATACTGTTTCCAATATAATGTGCATTCTGTCCCAAACAGCCTCTATGGAGGGAGTTTAAGATGATTCTGGGGCTTTGGACTTGCAAATCTAATTGCTGGTAATAGCTAGAAATGTAGCAAATGTAATGCTTTTGTTTATTGCAGAATCCAACAATTGATTGAAGAGGTATTGGGAAATTCCAAACATCTGAAATGGCTCTCTCTTGGGTTTATGATGGAGGTAGTAACTCCCACAACATTAGCAGCCTTGCCTCAGTCCAGTGCCAACTGCATTGAACACCTGAGTCTCCTGGATACCCATTTTATTAATAAATCCCCAGTTGTTGAGGCAGTTGAGCTGGAGCGCTTTTTAAACCTGCGATCGCTTGCATTGGATTTCTGCGATTTTACTGCTGACGTGACACGAGTACTCGCCAACAGCAACCATGTGCCTTTGCATAGGTTGTCTCTCTTGATGTCCAACATACATGCTTTAGATAACATGCCACAAGATGCAGATTGGAAGGTGCTTACCAGGCACTGTGCAAATCTTCATGTTTACATCATGGCTTTTAATGTCAGGAATGACATTTTACTAAGAATTCTGAAGCCGAGCATACCTTTAGAGAGAATTCACTTTGACAGCTCAACTAATGGTATTTCAGGTGATGTGGTAGATCTCATAACCCAGCAGTATAACAAATCCCTTACCCACCTCCTCCTCATAAAGGATGTAGAGCAAGGCATCAATGGTTTTCCAGATGTCGGCAGCGACAGAAATGAAGACCCCATGGTAATTTTGGCATGGAAGTGTAGAAAACTGTCTCACCTCTCAATCCATGGTAAGCACTCTTCCTATTTGATTACGTCATTGTATTAATATTAGTGAATTAAATACATTTCCTTTGACTTGAATGTGTATATTTAGTGTTTGAATATGATTTTTGCATGTTGAGGCTGAGGTTATAGAATGCATAACCATAAAAGGAAAGCAATAAGCAATGTCACATCTGAGTGAAGTTGAAGTTCATGCAAAGGCAGATCTTTGTGTGACTGAAAGTGTCATGTATGTTGCAGCACTGTTTCAAACTTTATGCTTATTGTTTTGTGCATTCTACCTGTCACACATTACCTGATGTGTTAAGTACATGTTTTGATTATGGACGCTGCACTAGTGAAGTTTTACACAGCATCCTTGAGTCATTGTCATCCTGAATTATGAAATTCTTTGTAACCATATGACCACAAGTGACTAGATTAATGAGCCAAACTCCCTTTCATTTGGGTGGTGCATTAGTAACTGTTTTGAATTTGAATTCCATAAAGCTTGTTTTCAGCAGTATTTTTGTGTAAGGTAAATTGGTTTCAAGAATAGTAGAACTTTACTACACTCCAGTTTGGTTTGCTTTCTCTTTATTAAAACAGCATGAGCTACAACTTAATGTGTTTTTCTTTGGAAATCAGTAAACTTTGGATAAACTTGCAGTCTTTTAACTTGTAACTTTTTTGCATTTTCACTCAGTAACTTTTATGTTTTCAATTTACAATCTAGGGTATGTTGTTTGGGCCCACAATCTCATTGCAATCGCTCGGCTTCGTGGACCAGGACTGCAAGTCCTGGAAGTCACTGAGGAAAGCATTAATTTTGATGCTGCGATGACTCCCCTGGATGGGGATCCTATGCATAATCTCATTGAAGAAGTATCCTTAGGTTTGGGAAAACGGTGGCATCCAGTAATGAAAAATGAAATTCTTTATGTTTTCAGTGAGACTGCTCGTTATTTTTACAAGGAGATGCAGCGCTTCAGTGAAGGCATTTAGCATTTCAAAACTTGTGTATTAGAGGGCCCTGCATTTTCAATAATTTAACATTTACATGTGCTGTTAATTAGTATTAGTTTATATATAAAGTGTGTATCCTGCTTAATCTGTAAATGTAGTTGGTATTGGTTTAGAAGTAGATGTGGCAAGAGTCACTGGATTTTCTCTGTCAGCGCCTGTGTCAACTGCCAAAGAAAACAGAATGAAGAAGTGCCCACATGCTGGCAGGGGCAGGCCAATGGCTGGTCAGCCAGAACCTACGAGTTTAAAAGGTCGAATTTTCGACCTGCGGTACACAGCTGTGCTGTGGCTCAGTCAACAACTTTACAGCTCTTAAACGAACGTGCACCTGGTTCACTGTGAATAGTGAATACAAAAAATCAGTTCTAACAAAGCTATGAGCTGCTGCTATGATTTTGAGAACATTCCACTAGGATAACTTAAATCTTGTTAAAGCAAGAGGCTTTAAAAGCCGCAATGTTCAGGGCAACCGCGGGTACAGTCGTGGTCTCTGTGAGACTAGCACCTGACCCCAGTTTTAAGTGGTACGAATGTTGTGCATTTAATGTAAGGACAGCCAGTATTACTCAGTGTGGCCATCATGCTGCCCAGCAGTGCTGTGACCTGGCTGCTTTGTATAAGCTTGTAAAACAAATTTACTGTATGCAACATATGTCAAGATTCTATTTATGAAGAAAGTGTGAGTGGTGATTGTTTCAAATGGTTTTACCATCTTGTGTCAATGATGCGTTTTGACAGGTGTGCATTATGTTGCATGTCTCCAGTGATTAATGCACTTACCATGCGGATTTTATATGTACATCTGTAGAGTGGATCCACTGGTGCAATGTATGAAAATGCCAGATGTGGTGAGATTTTATCATTGAATGAGATCATATGAAATACTGACAGAAAATGTGAGGAAAGCAGTTGAATGTTAAATTAATGTTTAAGTTTGTGACTGTTTATTGTTTAATCTATCAATAAAGCATTCAAATTACTTAATGTTTAGTGCTAAAGTTTTGGGAATTTACGATCAAGTTGAGCTATTATGTACACTGCAAAAAAAATTGCATGTGCTGACAGTAAAATACATTTTTTTAAAAGGTTAGTCTTTTGCATACATGGAGTACTGTATTAATTGCAGTAAAGTGTGGTTACAAGCTAAAACAATTGATTCCTATTCCTTACACCACTTTTTTGCTGGAAATTTCTAATGCTTAAAATATTATCACATCAAATATGAAATTGTATTGCATGTGGGTTTTTAACCATAACTGGGTAAAGTTGCCATTGTCCCAAAGAACCATAGCGAGAGAGATAACTGAATTTAACCTGACGTCATAGAAGGCAGAACCCTCATTGTGACCTCAGCCAGTATGCGAATTGAACCTGTGCTATTAGTCACTCTACATTGCCGCTGAGCAACCTAACTATCCTACAAAACATTCCATTGCCTTGAACTGCAGTTTTGCTGATGGAAGATTTCAGTCATTTAAGGTCTGAGAATTCTAGCACTTAATTCGTTCAAATAGCTTGCCGGCTTTTTAAGATCTTCATTTAGCTGGCTGAAGGCAAGGAGAGAACAACAATGCCCTTGGCAACTACTGGGGGGCTTTGGAGCATGTATGGATGCAAAATACACTAAGTATGGAGGGTGGTTGATAATTATATCAAGAATAACATGGATTTAGAATTTGGGTGGGGGTGGTCTGGTGCTAATTCTCTTGTTCCTTGCTTTTGAATGCACCACTTTATTATACTGTTTCTTGACTGTCACTTGATCAAAAGCTTAGAATACCCTTCCTGATGTATCTTTTTGGTGTAGATATGCCACAGACTGCAGCAGTCAACATGACATCCTTGCTACCTTTTAAAAGCAATTATTAGTTTGGCAACAAATATTTGCAGAACGAGCAATTGTTTTCATTGTGCAAATGAACAACTTCTTTTGGGTGGGAGGAAACAAAACTGATGTTAGGACTCAGTCTTTGATATATCCAGTACATTTCAGCTGCTTAATGCAGCTTGGTTTGAATTGCAATCTGGTGTAAGGTCCTGTTACAGATGCCAAATAAGCTAACTGGGATTAATGTTTTGATGTTTGTGAACAAAATCTCTGCAGCTGTACCATGGTTTAAGACTGAGTATTTATGGATCCTCTTCCTCATTATCCACCAACATAGATGTGTTTTACTGTCAGAACTTGAAGATTGCTTAACTCTTATCTAGCCTATTACTGGTGTTTAGCAAACAATAACTTTAATAGGCTTGCTCTATCTTTGTCATTACTTCCTACTGAAACAGACTTGAGGTCTCAATTTAAGGGTGGAGAATTGACTGTCCAGATTCCATTTTTGTTTTTTTTTTAAGCTGAACCCAGTTAAGTTCATCCACCCACTGTTCTTCCTTCTGCAAACAACTGCTTTTTCAGCAGTAGAGATTTTCAGGCTACTATTTGAATTCTCATACTCCATCACGTGGAAATATTAAATTTGTGTCTTTGAACCCAGTTAAGAAGCAGAGACTTGATATTGCTTAAAGTTTCTCCACCACTAATCTTAAATTGAGTTTTTACATTGTTAGCCCTCTTAATTACATTGAGTTTTAAACAAGTGACCTTTGGAATTGGGTCAGTACCATATCCTCCACTGCTATCTACCTACAAAGTAATTAAACAATTTGATACATATAAATTTTGACTTCAACAGAAGTGGCCCACAAGGGGTGGATTTCTTCAGTGTTGTTGCTTTAGTTATTTGACTGCACTTGTTCAGTCATAGTAATGACCCACTTCTGGGAGTAGATGGGACTTGAACCCAGGCCTTCTAGCCCAAAGGTACAAAACATGATGTTAAAACAAAGAAATGTTAATTTTTTTTTTCCCCATTCAACAAACTGTCAATAGTTGAAAATGCTTCAAATGGCTATGATGGAAATGAATTGTAGCTATAATTTCTAGGATTTGTCTAGGAATACCAGAGTTGGCTTTAGATGACAAACTGTAGTACTAAAGTGACTAACTTTCAATGTGAAGTAGCTTTGAAATGTCAAAGAATCAAATGCCAAGATGAATTCAAGCAGAAACTAATTCATAGAACTAGTCAAAAGTTGTAAAATCCCATAACTGATTACCTTCATTCCTGTGTACAGATGTCTGTGTGAAAAGAATTACACATCTAAAAAGTTGTTTAAATCAAGCACTTGTCTTATTTTCAGTATTTTACAATAAACTTTTATATTCTAAACATTCTTCAAACATTCCTTTTTATATTAGAGTATAAATCTGCATTTACATAAGTGGAACTAAAGACAGCACCACATATGGTATTTTCTGATTAAGATTTCTAGCAGTTCAAATACTGTTTTTTTTAAAAAAAAACTCACTTGAGCATTTACAAAATTCCATACACAACTACAGCATACAATGCTGTTAATAATGCATGTTAAACTATTGTACAATGGCAAGCTAAGTGCACAGTAAAAGTTCAATAAATTCCATGAAGTCTCCTGAGGTGTTCAACTTGTAAACAGCACTATCAGAAAGTGCCTTTATTCCAAGCTAGAAAGTCCATATTAAATATCAATTATAACAAACAAATTATACTCTAACTTGCAATTCACATCTTTATTGACTTAACATGGCCATAGAGATGCTCCTCCTTTTTCCTTAATTCACTTTTCTTGTGAGGGGTGATCTGATGCAGAAAACTTGGGTAGGGGCTGTCGAGACGGAAGAAGACCACTTGTAATATCTAAAAGTTGTCTAGCTGGAAGAAATGTAGGCTGAGGTGGTAGGTTTACTCTTGGCTGCACTGGATCTCTCACTAAAACAAAGTACAGGCAAGTTATTTTCTTGGAACAATTAGTGAAGCATTTTGTTTCACCATATGCTAAATAGGAGTTAACTTGTTATATTGGTCCCAAAGATAATTGGGAAAGTTGAACTCTGACCTCCAGGAAGACTATTTAGCCTATTGTCTCATTTTTGCACTTAAGTCCCAGCATATTGTTAACTTTGAGGTGATTTTGGTTCAATTCAATATTAAAACCTACTTAGGGGAGTAAAGGCACCTATAGCTAAATTTGCAGACCAAACATAAAAATTAGGAGGACATATCTGCAAACCCAAGTTGAGTGCAGGGGTCAGAAATCTGGCAGATGGAGTACAACGTAGGAAAATGTTCACTGGCCAAAAGCATTGATTGGGAGGGGAGGAAAGAAAAGAAAAGAAGTCCAACTTAAATGAAAAATGACCACAACTACAAGGTTCTAGTGCATAAGCCAAACTTAGTAGGTCGGTATAGCCTGTAATCAAGGTGGTTATTAGGAATGCTATCCTTTTTGAGAGAAAGTGAGCATAAATTACTTTAAATTCCCTCTGTATTGCACCATCCAAGAAAATAAAGCTGCAGTATTCTTATGGTTTCTTGGACAAAAGACTTTGCAAGTTAGAAGAATAGTAATTCAGGCTAACATACAACTTCTGACCGCCTATGGTAAACAATGGGTAATATGTGATTAAATACCTCACAGCACAAATGCAATCAAAATAGATTTCTCAGTAACTACACCCCAGCTGTTAGTGACATGGTTAAGTCGTCGTACCTCGTAACTCAAAATTGTACAGTTGTACACTTTTGCTGATCCAGCCCTTGAAACTCTCTCAACTACTGTTTTAGTCAACCAACCTCTTATCGTGGGTCCATACTTCTCTCAGCATTTAAAAACTACACTCCACTACTTAGCAAGTTACAACTATAGCTTTTCAGATAGCTAGCTTAATCACATGTCCCTGCACCTCCCCTGAGTTCTAACCTTTGTTGTGTAAAGCAAATACTGCTTCCGGAAACTGTAAAGTTGTTCACTTGGTGGAAAGAACAAAAAAAAGCCCAATCAAGAGTTGTGGTCATTGCACATGTCTGGAGTAGGGACTTGAATCTAGGCCTCCTGCTCAGAGGTAGGGACACTACCATTGTCTACTTCACAACCCCTGCTCTCAGCTATTCTGATGTATTGGTAGCACCCTGCATCATGTGAGCCATTACAACTTTAAGGACTTTTCCATCATGACTCCTATCTTTTAACTGCCTATTACCTCTTCAAACTCAAGATAGTAATATTTAACTACTGATGACTTCTCAGTGGGCCCCCAACACATATAGTCCAGTTTACTTTTCACCAGTACAATTCACTTCTGTATGGAGATTTCCTCTCATTTTCTTCTTGGACTTTGAGCTCCAGGCTACAGCTCTTGGCCTTCTGAGCGATCTAACTGCACAGAACAAGTAGTTCAACTGTGATCTCTGAACTGTCCTGAGTAATCTATTTTAAAAACCTAGCAATACATTCCACCCCTATCACCCAGCAGAACTGAATTTCATCACCTAGCAACTGTTGGAGCTGTTCCATGGTTCTTAGCAATCATAGACACTGGCTTGTTCAGTACAAGAGAACCTAGAATATAACTAAAGGATTTCATCATGTCCGTTCATTTGCCAATAGCAATCTTCAATTTTTAAGCAGCCAGCATTGAGATTTTCTTCTTTTTTATTTGCTCAATCTTCTCTCAAAATGTTCCTTCAGTCCACTTTCTCTCAGCAGTACCCTAGCCAGCTTCTTGTCCTAATTACATTCAGCAATTCCTTTGTTCGTTCATGCTCCACAACACTTCACCATGTTATCTTTTCTGTCCAACTGATCCTTTCTATTGTTCTTCAAATCCACATTTCAAAGCCTTTTTAACAAGGTGGTCTCTTCTTTCCATAAGTGCCAAGCCTCTCATGCAGACAAAATAACACTCCAAATCAAGCTCTTTACAAGTCGTTCAAGTTGTTTATTCAACTTCTGGATGGCAACTGTCATCTTACCATTTATGTTCTACCACTGTAATCAATTGTGCAATTCATGCTGAATAATCCTGCTGAATACACAGTAACAGCCACAGTACCACCAATGTAATCCCCAAGTATTATGGATTTTTATTTGCATATTGTGGGCAGGCCTATGATAAATCATAGGTGGAAATATTCTGGCATTAAAAGGTGCTTCCTCAAAAGTACAAAATTACTTTTGTTAACTTCACTCAGATCTCAGTACCTTTGTCAGTGTCATTTATTCCACTTGTGTATTTTTGAAGTTCACTACTTCCATGGAAAATATTGTAATTATCTGCATTGGAGTTAAACATGCTGTAGGAGTTACTGTGCATTGAGAAAAATGAAAATGGGAGTGACAAGCCGACACAGAGGTTTAGACCCTGATCTTATTATCTTTAGGTTCGTCTCCAACCTAGAAAAACAGGGTGAATATCTCTTGGTTGTACAAGTCTTAAATGAAATTAATTTGATGTTCACTCCATATGCTGGTAGGCATAGCCTTGAGATAAAATTGGCCCTAATTCGGAAATCTCAAAGTCATAGAGTTATACAACACGGAAACAGACTGTTCGGTCCAACACATCTGCAGCGACCAACTATCCTAAATATCTGGCCCATATCCCTCTAATGTCCCCATCCAATGTTTTTAGTGTTTTACATGTTGTAACTGGACCCATCTCCACCACCTCTGGCAGCTTGTCCAAACATGCACCACCCTCTGCGTGAAAAAAGTTGGCATTCAGGTCCTTGTTAAATTTTTTCTGTCACCTTAAACCTATGCCCACTAGTTCTGAACTCCCCTACCCTGGGAAAAAGACCTTGGCTAATCACCCTTTCCATGCCCCGCGTGATTTTATAATCCTCCACAAGGTCAGCCCTCAGCTTCTGACGCTACAGGGAAGAAAAGCCCCAGCCTATTCTGCCTCTTCCTATAGCTCAAACCTTCCAATCCTGGCAACACTGTCTGCTACACCACCAATTTTGGCGTCATCTGCAAACTTACTAACAAGATGCAGTTGAGATAAATTATCGTGGCAGAGAAGTAGAAGCTTATTAAAACAGTGCTTGCTATATTGAAATACTAAGTCCAAGTGGAAAGTCTTTCACACCCTAGACATAGTGAAGAACTTGAGAAAACACTCCCTTAAATCAACACAATGTTCACGTGTACTAAATCCATTCATGAAATATATCTGCTCACTAGATTCCTTATGTTCTGGAAAAATTATCCTGAACATTAACAATTTTCAGAACAGAATGGATACCATTTCTCATCAAGATGACCAAATACATGTGGTCAAAAACAGCTTGGATTCTTTGAAAGATATTCTCTGGAAGGCCCAGTACAGTTCAATGCCAGATAGAATGTTAGGACATTAGTTGAGACCAGCAATTTTGTGCATTTGGGAATCTGAAAAACCTCAGGTATTTACTAAAGGAATTAAACCAGCAGCTTCCACATTTTAAACAAATGAATTATACAAGAAACATGTAAAACAAACACTAATAACAGACTGTGATAACAAGGTGTAGAGCTGGATGAACACAGCAGGCCAAGCAGCATCAGAGGAGCAGGAAGGCTGACGTTTC